AGAGGACAGGTTTATTCTAGATCTCGTGGTCTTTCCACAAACGAGCCTGTGCCCATAGCCAGGCCTGTCTCCCCAGATATCCCACGTGCACTCCTGACCTCGGCTCCCGAGGCCCACTCTCTTCCTTTCAGCGTTAACCTAAGAAACATTCAAACCTGCACAGAATTTTTGTAAGTTTATTTGAGCCAAACTCAAATTTGTCGACAATTGCTGGGAAGCAGAATCTCAAAGCATTGAGATAATGCTCCAGAGAATGGCGGGTTTTCATCTTGTTTTATACATTACAATCAAAAGAGAAACTGTAAGTGAGTTACATGAACTCCACTGACGATAGATTAAGGAGGTGGGAGAAAGCAAAGCGAGGAAACCTCTAGGATTGGATAAAAAGTAAAATGATAGATGCACACTTATTTTACTTAGGTGGGTGCAGGATAGTTAACAGTCAACAATTAATTCAGTAACAATAAGGGGATTTGTGGTCTCTGCAGAGTGGTGCCTGTGCTTCGAGGGGTCCAGAAAAAAGGAAAATTACTTTGACATTTCAATGATATGTTATCATAGATGCAAAAAGACAATAGGCTCAGTTAAGGTAAAGATTAACCTTTGTCAGGGAAGATACCAGCCTAGGACATGACTACCCACTATAAACTGCTTTTTAATTAAAACCGTTTTCGTTTCAGACCATCCTTTGTGGTTACTTTAGGTCTCTGAGTTTGCAAGGCTGCCATGCAGGCCTTCCCTGAGCTTGTCAGGTTAGCCTGTGGCCCCTTTTCCTCCACGTCAGCCTGCAGTGTTTCTCCTGAGGGCGAGTCACCAACAAGGGTCCCTCTGCAGAAAGCTGAGGCACAAGGGTGGATAGTAGGAAACAAGCCCAAGATTTCCATGTGCAAAAAGTATTTTGAGTAGGACTGCCCCTCCCAGCTCTCCCTCAGTGCACACACCCTCCTTAAATCATGCAATCAAGCGTGTATGCTGGGAACAGCAGTGCCTCCCCACGCCTCCCCACAGGTCCCTGAGAGTTGTAAACGTTGACTAGAGTGCTGCCTTGAAGTTATTTCTGTCAATGCTTTCCCCACATTTCCCATTGTGTATGCCACAGGATACTGTTGTAGGGATATATAATTTCCTAAGGTCCGGTAAGTTTGAGAAGTGGTAGGCTAAATAAAACTACGCAGATATCTTTCCTGCAGAACTTCTCAAGGCCTTTAATAAGCTATCTGGTATGACAAATCATCAAAAGCCAGTCACAATATCGAGTCAGCTACAAACTCACTGAAGTGACCACAGAACCTGCCTTCCAGGAACGTCTAGTAAGACTAGTATTCCGAAGGATCCTCGCTGGGGCATGTCATGATCGGCGGGCCTGCATCCAGCACGTCAGAATCACTCAGGGAGCTCGGATTCCTGGCCCTGCTCCTAAAGATGCTAACCCTGGTGTCTGGGCCAGAGTGTGGGAATCTGCTTATTGCTGTTTGTGGTTTTTTTCTTAACGCTTTCCTTGTGATTTGAATGATGACTATTGATCTTTAGGGCTTTGGAGACGCTATACCTGTGACCTCCTGGGCCCTCGCCGAGGAACTTGTACCCAAGCCCCTTTGTAGGTAAAAAACACATGTTTATTATGCAAGAGAGATGCTGCAAACGGATAAGGGCCTTAGTGATTTGGGGGAAATTGCTGGCCTGTTTCTGTGACTTTAGAAACCACCTCCTATGTAGCCATCCGTGTCTACCCACATTGAAGCCCACCTTCATAGCCCTCAGAGCTGTTGTCACTCATGCCAATTTGGGCTATTTCACATGTTTCTCTATTTTGTTTCATTTGTCTGTATCTCACCCCCCTGCGGGATCATATTCAAAGTAGAACCCCATTAAGCATTTGGGGGTTCAACTTCATGCAGAGTTGAACAAACAGCAAATGCTCAATGACTGCAGAGAAACCAAGGGACAAAAAGGATGTTGGCCCCCAAATGGCACCCACCAGCATTTTTAAATGGACAGTCATGGGTGTTTTATTGCTGTGATATGTTTGTTACGATGACACATTTAAAGGAATTATTCCAAAGGTTAATTTTTAGCCCGACCGGTGTGGGTCAGTAGTTGAGCTTCAACCTATAAACCAGGAGGTCAAGGTTTATCCCAGGCCTGCACCTGCCCGGGTTGCAGGCTCCATCCCCAATGGGGGATGTGCAGGAGGCAGCCAATCAATGATTCTCTCTCATCGTTGATGTTTCTTTCTCTCCCTCTCCCTTCCTCTCTGAAATCAATAAAAACATACTTTTAAAAATAAAAGGATAATTTTTATGTAGCAATATTAACAATATAGAAGTTATACCTATTAGAAATATAACTATTTAACCATGAAGTGAAAAATACTGCTGTCAAGTTAAAATAATAATGCAAGGAGGCTTGTCGTTTTTCAAATTCTTAGGGAGATATCTGGGCAAAAGGTGTGCCGGCAGTGCTCTAGAGAACAATGTTGGGAAGGCTGCTGGTGAACAGAGGGGCTTGGAATCAGGCTGGCAGGGAGGCTCTGGTAGAAATGCCAGCTTCACCCAGCTCACAGGGTTAACACCGTGCAGTGCCTGGCACAGAGCCAGCGCGCCCCTCGTCCAGCCACTGGCTGCCATGTGCCGCCAACACGCTGGGCTCTGTCTGGACAGATGGACAGGAGGGCTTAGACACAAGTCCCTGCTCCCACAGAGCTTACACTCTAGTGAACACACATTCAGTTGATTCGTGCTTCTGTGATATTCCAGAATGGATCTAGCTAGACTTCATTGTTCCCGTCAGAATAATCACCTGAGGGGGCATATACATATTTCAGTAACAAAGTCTTTCAGCTTCTCCTGTGGAATTGACTTCTGAGCACACAGCACCGTCTTTTGCACATCCTATGTGCTTGTAAATATTTGTCTTTCGAGGACCCATTTGATGTTTTTGGAACAAAGGTTATTCACACAAAGGTCTGGTGACTGTGATGGATCATCAGATGGGACAGGAATATTATTTGTCTCAAAATCAGGAAGTCAGCTTTCTCAGGGGATGGAAGAGTCACCGAGGCTGAAGGAACATCTTGGCCATGTCAGGGCACCTTGGCTGTGAAGTTGCTTGAAATTGCTGTGATCTCAAACTTCAGGGAGGGAGCTTCCTGGGGCTGTGAGAGGCCAGGGCACCCACCACTTTAGTTCTGGGTGGAGTCCCCTGAGACCTGCAGCTGGAAGAGCCTGCAGCTGGATTCACTTTCCTGGAAGGACCCAGGGCTGAGGGAGGAAGGCCCGGCCAGTCCTGAGAGGCCTGCGGCTGGAGGAAGCCCCGGGGCCTATGTCTATGTTGTGTTTGACTGTTTATTGAGTCTGTGTCTGCAAGACCTCAGTGTCGAGGAATTAAAATCACTGTCCACTGAGGGAATGAATCCAGGCTGGGCAGAGGGGGTGGCAGATGAGATGGGGACGGGCCAGACACGGACTGCAGAAGCTGGCTGTCCACTCTGCATATCTCAGTTCGGGGTGGCCACAGAGCACTGGGCAAAAGCTCTAGGGACCTAGAGGGCCCTCGGTTCTCAAAGGAAAATTGTTGGGGTTTGTGTTTTCAGTATAAGTTCGCACCGTATTTTACTACTTCCTTATTCTTCTGCAATATTTCTCCGGTACTTAACAGACACCATCCCATCACTGTAACCAGAACTGAGCTAGGTGCTATGGCAACTTGAAACTCCTGTCTCTGTCTTCAGGCAACTTGAATCTCCTTGGGAAGATAGTAATAATGAGTCAGGCTGGCCAGGGGGGTTCATTTCAAATGTCAGCTCCAGCTAATTGGTGACTTCACGGGGGATTTCATCAGATCTAAGGCACCATGGATTGTAAGATGCTGTTTTATGTGTTCTTAAGAAAGATAAAGGTGCTGCCAATTAAATTGCTTGCTGTATTCTTAGAATTTTTATTTTATGCTTATTGAAGCATCCTTTTTAGACTTACTTAGACTTATTATTTTTAACATGTATTTCTCTTTCTCATTCATAAAGTGGAAAATAACAGGGAAATAAACTGGCTTTGTTTTTCTGAGCTTCTTCACGGTCAGAGTAGTGCTGGCTGAAGCACCTTTGACCCGACGTCGTCTTACTTCCCACACAGGGCGGTTCTCTGTGCCGTCGGAGCATTGGTGAGGCAGTATTTCTTGACTTTTCTCCCAAATTTCTGGCTCCTATTGTGTAAGTTGATATGCACACAGGTAATGACAACCACAGCACAACCGCCACCTGGCAACAGTGGCTGTAAATGCATCTCAATTTCCAAGACATCAAACCGGAAAAATACACCTCTTAGACTCTATGAACTATGAATTCTGAGACTCAGCCAAAAAAAAAAGACTACATTCTTGCCCTGACCAGGTGGCTCAGTTGGAGCATCATCCCATACGCCAAAAGGTTTTGGGTTTGATTCCCGGTCAGGGCATATATCTAGGTTTCAGGTTCAAATCTCAGGTGGGGCACTTATGGGAGGCAGCCGATGGATGTTTTTCTCTCACATCAGTGTTTCTCTCCCTTCCTCTCTCTCTAAAATCAGTAAAAACATATCCTCAGGTGAGGACTTAAAAAAAAAGACTACATTCTTGTCATTAAGCTATAATTTCCTCCTGTATAATTTGCAAAACTGAATGGCTTCCAGTGCAACAGCCACAATAGGGAGCCCTCTGTGACCTAATAGAGTCTGGAAGGCTGTATGTGAAGTAGATGTAAAGAGGTGAGATTTGGCCCAGACAAGAGGAGACCTGTTCCAGAGAGGGAAGAGCACAATTTAGAAGGTTCAAAGAGTAAATGAGCATGTCATGTGGACAGGACCATGTGGCAACCAGGCATGGGTGGGGTTCAGTTAGGGAGTGTGGACTCTAAAAGCATGGATTTTTGCTCTAAGAACATAAGTGCAAATTAGTGTGCTTCACTTGTAGGAAAATAACAAATGGTTCTCGTATGGCCATAACTTTCATTTCTTTTCTTATCGTAGGTCCCGATGTGTTTAGTTCAAAGAGTTTTGCCCTTCAAGCCCAGAAGAAGATTCTGAGCAAAATAGCCAGCAAGACCGTGGCCAACATGCTGATTGATGACACCAGCAGTGAGATCTTTGATGAGCTCTACAAAGTCACCAAAGAGCACACCCACAACAAGAAGGAAGCCCACAAGATCATGAAAGACTTAATCAAGGTGGCCATCAAAATCGGGATCCTCTACCGGAACAACCAGTTCAACCAGGAGGAGGCTGCTATCGTGGAGAAGTTCAGGAAGAAGCTGAACCAGACGGCCATGACCATCGTCAGCTTCTATGAGGTGGACTACACCTTCGATAGGAACGTGCTCTCCAAGCTCCTACACGAGTGCAAGGACCTGGTGCATGAACTGGTGCAGCGACACCTGACCCCCAGGACCCACGGGCGCATCAACCACGTCTTCAACCACTTTGCTGATGTGGAGTTCCTCTCCACCCTTTATAGTCTGGATGGAAACTGTAGACCAAGCCTCAAGAGGATGTGTGAAGGAATCAACAAATTGCTAGATGAGAAAGTCCTCTGAATATCTTCCCTCCTCCTGGACTTTGCTGCATTCCAGTCACAGCCCTCCAGTGTGGTCTGGGTGAGAGTCAAGAACGGGAAGAAACCCTCGTCGAAGACGCCCATGTTCTGTCCTTTTCATCCCTCTGATGTGGATGCCGAATTGAGCTCAGGTGTGTTTATCCCCTGAGCTTGCTGACGAGGTCTGTACTTTAAATCACCTTTGTTTGTGAGCCCAAAGGACATGTCTTCTATGCTAAGCAGAAAGGCTGCCCTGCTCATCAAGGAGAGCTCAGTTCATCTGTGGAGTAGAAGGAGCCCTGGCCCAGGAGGCAGGGGACATGGGTTTGGTTCCCAGCTCCACCAGTTATGACTCCATCCTCTGGTTCCTTCCCCTCCTGCCTGCTCCCTGGGCTGCTGTGAGGATCAAATGAAACAATGTCCCACGATTTTGAAAACGCTAATGTAGGGTCTTCTTTTCCCTTCAGAGTGTGAGAGGAATCCACTTGGATCTAGACTATTAAGCAGCAGAGAACAGAACAATAGTCTCTGGTGGGCTGGGTTTGCAATCTGTCTCCAGATGTGCTATTTCAAACAAATTTAAAATGAATCTAAAGGTGTGAAAAAGTATAGCTGCACATTGGGAAAATGTTTTTCAAAAGCTCTGTTTTCTGGATCTTAGATGTGCGGTTTTATGATCCTCCAGCGGGCAGGTAGAGTCCCACCCGTCACGCAGAAGCAGAGAACTGTGCTCCCTGCAGGACCACCCTCCCTCCTCTAAGGGGCACAGTCCGTGAGGCATAGGAGGGTTTATTCCAGCTGCACAGGAGAGTCAGGCAAAGTGAACCCCTACCTATCTTTCTTGGCTTCTCATAGTCATTTTGTGCTGTTTTCTCTAGTTTGTTAATACATTGAAACTACCCTTCCACCAAGAAGTTTTGGAATTGTGATTCAAAAATAAAATTCCTGCCCTGACTGGGTGCTCAGTTGGTTGGAACATCGTCCCATGCACCAGAAGGTTGCAGGTTGGATTCCCGGTTGGGGTTGTACTGGAGACAACTGATCAGTGTTTCTCTTTCACATCAATGTTTCTCTCTCTCTCTTTCCCTTCTTCTCTCTCTAAATCCTCAGGTGAGGATAAAAAATAAAATTCCTTGGAGTTAGATACAGTGTTAAGGATAATGGGATTTAAAGGAAGAAGAAAATGAAGAGTAAGGCCTCTGCACTTAGACCCTGCGGGGAAGTCGCCCAGGGGAAACGAGGTGGGGTATGTGTCCCTGGTCCAGGGGGAGCCAACTCACAGACATGGTGACTGCCTCTTTTGAATGTCTCACACTTCGCTTTCACACTGTGGCTTCTGACATTTTCATCAAAGTCATAATAAACATCAGGACAATGTATTGTCTTATAATGTTGTCTAAAGGACACCACATCAAGAGACATGCTCTTGCCCTGGCTCGTGTGGCTCAGTTGGTTGAGTGTCACCCTATGCACCAAAAGGTCACTGGTTCGATTCCCAGTCAGGATACATGCCCAGGGTTTTGGGCATAATCCCCAGTAGAGGGCCTGCAGGAGGCAGCCAATCGATGTTTCTTGCATCAATGTTTCTCTCTCCCTCTCTCTAAAAATCAATAAAAACAGGTTTTTTTTATAAAAAAGATGTGCTCTTCCTACATCACCTCCTGTCCCACTGTGCTTCTCTTATAGAACACCACATTAGCTCAGCCCTATGGTACATCCCACCCCATGGTCTCTCTCTAGCAGGAGCATCAAGAGATGGTTTTGGGGAACATGTGAAACAAACCTACAGTGGCCATTTAGCCTCAACTGGCTCCCATGTCAATATCAGTGCAAACCATTCAGTTCAGTTATTCAGCTACCAGCGCTCAAAATTAGTTTATAGGAAGGATGTCCAGGGAGGAATAGGGAATAGTTAAGTCAGCCCCTGTTCTCCATATTTGACAGGCGTGGCCTAGTGCGGTAGTCGGCAAACCACATGCGGCTCTGTGGCCCCTTGAGTGTGGCTCTTCCACAAAATACCACGTTTTTAGCAAAGGCCAGCTTTGGAGTACCCTAATTAAGTTAATAACAATGTACCTACCTATATAGCTTAAGTTTAAAAAATTTGGCTCTCAAAAGAAATTTCAATCATTGTACTGTTGATATTTGGCTCTGTTGACTAATGAGTTTGCCAACCACTGGCCTAGTGCCTCCTCCTAGACATAAGGCCTAACAATGATACCTTGTGCACATCTGGGCTGGAGTCGTTGATCATTGGGGCAAAGCTGGTGGGAATTACAGGCAGATGGCTCCCCTTCTCATGCACCCAGTAGGCAGCAAGCAGCCCAGCAGTAGCCAAATGAGTTTTCACATGCAGAGCCCTCAGTGCCTGCCTTGGTGTACTCACCTGATTGAGGACTGTGTGCTAGTTTGAGGGCTGGTGCTTTTTTCACTAAGCAGGTGGGCCTATCCAGAGAACTGAGGCCCAAAAAAGAATGGGTGGCGCTGTCGTCTGTCCATCTGAGACACAGCAGGGCAGAAGGCGGGATCCCCGCCAAAGAGGATTGATTGCAGGGTCTCCCTGCAAAGGAGGAACGAGCAGGTTCTGACAGCCCATGAGTCTCTGCAGGAACTGGGTCGTCCTTGCTCTGCTCAGAGAAGGAGCAGCACTTCCAGCAGCAGGTCTCAGCAGGTGCAACAGCGGAGTGTAGACCAGTGGTGGCGAACCTATGACACGCGTGTCAGAGGTGACACGCGAACTCATTTTTTTGGTTGATTTTTCTTTGTTACATGGCATTTAAATATATAAAATAAATATCAAAAATATAAGTCTTTGTTTTACTATGGTTGCAAATATCAAAAAATTTCTATATGTGACACGGCACCAGAGTTAAGTTAGGGTTTTTCAAAATGCTGACACGCCGAGCTCAAAAGGTTCGCCATCACTGGTGTAGACCAAGACATCTACGACCTCAGGCCTCCCCACTGCAGCAGCCAGGCAGCTCTCTCTACTGCAGGGCCAGTGGGGTGTATCTCAAGCTTATCAACAGCAGTCACAGGGGGCTGGGCTACCCAGGCACAGGAGACCCATTGTTCCTCTAACCAAGTGGTCGGCAAACTCATTAGTCAACAGAGCCAAATATCAACAGTACAACGATTGAAATTTCTTTTGAGAGCCAAATTTTTAAACTTAAACTATATAGGTACGTACATTCAACTTTAAATTCAACTTTAAATCCACGGTTTTCATCTTCCGTTTTTCTTTGCTTCTTCTTTGTAGCCATCTCAAACAGGGCACCTAAAAAATGTTTCATTTGATAATAATAAAGCCACCAACACAAAAGAATTACAATTCTTAAATTGATGACAAAAATACCTGTAGGATTTGCAGCTGGTTGGAAAAATACAGGTAACTTTATGCTTCGAGTAGGTACCTTTGTCACCCGCGCACGATTTGCGGATGCAACTAGCACTAACCACTGCACAATGAGACTGCTGACTGGCTCACTCAACTCCTGCATGAATCGCACGCACCTCCCCTGTGCCGCATCTCCCGTCACCCGACGGACTGACACCCCCCACTTCTACTAACGCCACTTCTTCAAAATAGACTTGCCCAGGCGGAAAACCGACATCTGCGCATGGGCCACGAAGTTTCAATCGCACTGTACGTGCGCGCCCGCACTTGGTATTTTGTGGAAGAGCCACACTCAAGGGGCCAAAGAGCCGCATGTGGCTCGCAAGCCATGGTTTGCTGACCACTGCTCTAACCCAACCCTATATATACATTTCAACATACCATTAGCATATAAATTCAAGTGACTGTCAAGTTTCCTCAGCCAAATGAAATGGTTACAAATTTCAGATACTTTACATAACAATGCAGTAACCAAAGAAAGGATCTAATTATTGGTTTATTCTCAGGATTCTAACTATGTCACTTAGTGGCCCTGAAAAGCTGTTTTGGCTGGGGGGGAAAAAAAAGTATGACAGGCTAGCAGAGGCTTTCAAAAACAGGACTCTGTGGATGTGCATTTTGCTCAGAATCCTGTACAAAATTTTCAATAATGAGAACCCACAAAAACAAGGTTAGCATGTCTACATGTAAGTGGCACCTGAAATAAAACTGATTTCAAAACAAGTAACAGTACAAAATCACTCAGTTGATCAAGCCCCACACAAACCAGAGAGCGATGCCTGGCTGAGCAATTCTAAGGCAGGGAAAGGACTCATTCTTTAAGGGGGTTGAAGGGGTGGCAGAACAGCTTGTCTGTCATCTGGAAACATCACCAACTCTCTGAGCACCCCTGAGCACTCGGCTCTGTCCCCACGGGAGGACACGAGGGATTCGTGCTGAAGTTCCCACCCCACCCTGATTAGGTGTCTCCGTGAATCTGAACCCTGCAGGAACACATTCCCTGCCGGCTGTGCTTGCCATACGTCTGTATCACTCTTCCTCCGTGTTTGCATCTGTGAGTCTTGACACCCTCAGCAACTCCAGGTCTCTGCTCAGTGACAAATGAAAATGAAAAGACTTCTCCATCTGTGCGTCTCTCCAAACTCTCATCTCCCCCATCTGTACATTTCTCAGAAGCAAATCAGTACATTCACTGGCTGCTCCAATGAATTTCTTCTATTCATTTATATAAAAGAAGAAAACTCAAATCAGGCCTTCATGTCCTCCACCTCAATGTCTTTGGGGATTTTTTATTTATTATTATTATTATATGGCCCCAGATGTCAAGAGCAAAACCAATCAGTAAAAATTCTAGAGCAGCCAACTGGCTGCCAAGATACTGCATTAACAGGAGCTGTTCAGTAATGGGCTGGGACATTGATAAGAGTCATGAGTCAGATGACCTTGAAGGAGAGGGTTGCGAGGTTCTCCCAACTCAGAACTCTGTGGTCAGTGGGTTTCCCTTATTTAGCCCGACCCTGCTCTAGGGGCCACAACCCAGGCCACGCCCACCTCCTGCTCTTTAGGTTGCCTTGCTTGTTAGAGAAAAGACTTTTCTACAATGCTGTCCTCAAAATGGCACCTAGGAGTCCTGGAAGTTCTGTGGTGGATGAGCTGGAAGGGGCAAGAGTCCATGAATTCTATAAGGAGTTTTAAGATTTTTGTATCATCCTAACTTAAAAAAAAAAATCAAGATCAACATCAGTAGCTTCCGAATCATGTGGGGATGACTATCTTATCACGAGCTGGTGCCATCTGGCTTCAGGGTTTGAGTTCCTCTTTGTGTTTACAATGTCATTCATGCTGACTGATCAACTCAAATGAGAGAAAATTACTTAACTTAATCTGTTTCTCTACCTAGGCCTGTGCATCCCCTAGGGGTCTGCAGGCCTAGTTGCGCATCTGTGAGTTCTCAATTTTGAGAAATGTTGCTACTACATATGTAAGTATAGGCTTGTACAGAATGAGTGTCACCCTGCCCTTGATGCTGATTCATTTGTGGGCCTCAAAGGTTGAAGGGTAAGCCTGTGTCTGAGGGACACAGAGGCCTGCTGCAGAAAGGGGCAGACTCCCACATGAAAACTGGCCAGATAGAGCTACCACACATAAATCAAGGATGGACAAACCTGTCCTGGAAATCCTAACAATAAATCTCAAAGGTACAAGAGAGGCCATCGCCAGACATGCCAGGCACTGCTGCTCCCAGGGAGGGGAATAGTGGAGAAAGCTTGTGAAGGAGAAGTGACCTGGACCTGTCCACACTGTCCCAGTTCCAGCTGCACCTGCAGCATGCAGATTCCCAGGTGTCAAGAATGTGTGTGGTTCCAGGATCCCAACAGCTTAATGTCTGGTTGAATTGAAGAATAAGGCATGTGGCACTCAGAATGCCTCCCAGTCCCAGAAGGAGGAGGGGGTTAGCCAGAGCAAGCAGTTCTCACACCCCAACCTCATTAGCACCTCAGTACCACACTAACATGTCCTTTCCTTTTTTTGTCCTTTTTTTTTTTTTTTTTTTTTTTTTTTGCTGAGTTGGGGCAGGTCTCTACAAAGGAGGTGTGCTGGCCGCCCACCCAGGCAGCCAGAGTTTGGGCTACTGGACCCCCCAGGCTGTGGTATAGGACTCTTCCTTGCTGACTGCTAAGGCCTTTCTGGACCAGTTCCTGGGAAAGGGAAGCCTGGGGATTGGCTCCACCTCAAGGAGGGGCTGGGTGGGAGCCAGAGCTTGGCACAAAGCGAATGCTGAATGCCCAGGCTAGCGGGGAAGCAGCAATTAGGTTATGTTAGGAGGGAAAGAGCCCTCCTGGTGAAGGAAGAGCTGGTGGGCTAGGTCCGAGGGTGACTGGGCTCCCTCCGGCCACCTCTCAGAGCCACGTCTTCCCTGCCAAGAGGGTCATGTTTCCTTTGTGAGGGGAATGGGCTGCCCTGGTCTGTATCAGAAGCA